CCGCCTGCCTTCTAGCACTCTGTTCCAGCTGCAGTCCACCACTGCCAGCCCAACCCTCACTCTAAACCCTAGACCCTAAACCCTAAACCCTACACCCTAAACCCTAAACCCTCACTTTTCACGAAATCAATGTGCTGCGCCCGCCTGCCTTCTAGCACTCTGTTCCAGCTGCAGTCCACCACTGCCAGCCCAACCCTCACCCTAAACCGTAAACCCTAAACCCTAAACCCTAAACCCTCACTTTTCACGAAATCAATGTCCTGCCCCCGCCTGCCTTCTAGCACTCTGTTCCAGCTGCAGTCCACCACTGCCAGCCCAACCCTCACTGCTGCTGCTGCTGCTGCTGCTGTTGCTGCTGCTGCGGAGGCTGCGGCTGCTCCGGCGGCAGGTGCCGCAGCAGCACAGCCCTCGCCCTCCTTGCTTCCAGGTCTCGAGTCCGCGTCCGTCTCGCTGTCGCTGCTGCCGCTGCTGCTGCTGCTGCTGCTGCGGCTGCTGCTGCTGCGGCCACCCAGCCGCTGCGCGTACTGCACTCTGCCAGCAGCTGTTATCTTGTTGAGTTTGCAGTGCCGCAGCAAACGGCGGCCGCTGCAGCGCTGGGCGTCGCACTCTCCGAAGTCAAACATGAAAAGAGAAACTTCATCTGGGCTTTCAGCCGGCACTTTTGCTGCTGCTGCTGCTGTTGCTGCTGCTGCTGCTGCTGGTGATTGGGAGGGAGGGGAAGCGCTGGAGCCGGAAGCATTTGCTGAGTCGGATGCTTCCCTGGCTGCTGCTGCTGCTGCTGCTGCTGCTGCTGACGTTGCGGGTTCTCCTGCTGCTGCTGCTGCTGCAGCGCCGCCAGCAGCAGCAGACTTGCACTCGAGAGAGATGCGTTTCATAAGGGCGTGGATTCTGCATTGCTTACGGCGCTCAGGGTCACCTCCCTTTTTCTTACCACGGGGCTTCGCTGCTGCTGCGTCTGCGTCTGCAGGCGCTGCTGCAGCAGCAGCAGCAGCCCTCACAGCTGGGTCTAAGGGCCTCAACTCAAAGGCAGGGGGGCCCCCCGCTCCGTGGGGCCTCTTCTGGGGGTCTGGGGGCCCCATGGCCACTGCTGCAGTGTTTAGACACTTGTAACCTCAAAACTTCAGAAGCAAAACACAAAAAAAACAATAAAAACATTTAGAAGTCTCACTGCGCTGCAGAAGGCTGCGGTTCGCTACCACCAGGGGTCCCACAGGGGCCCCACAGGGGCCCCACAGGGGCCCCTCGGGGGCCCCTCTGGGGCTTCTCGGGGCCCCTCAGGGGCCTCGCCGGGGGCCCCTTGAGCCTGCGCAGGGGGCAAATGCAAAGGGACAGCTGCGGCTTCTTCCTTGTTTGCTGTAGAAGAGATTTATTAGTCTTTTGAGTTATTCAAATTTTCTTTTTTGTATTTCCAAGTGCCTCCTCTTGGGTTTTGCGGGTCCTCGCTGGCGGCTGCCGTGCGCTCTAGCGCCGCTGGAGCCTAGCAGTATTATATGTGCACAACAAAAAGTAAAAATGAAAACATATTTATATTTTCAAATTAGATTTTATATTTTCAAACTAGATTTTATTGTTGTTGCAGTTTGAAGCTGCTCGCGCCGCTGCTGCAGCCGCCGCAGCAAGCGAAGCAAAGAAGCAGCCACAGAGGCACTTTAGAGCTCTACTGTTGATAGTTTTGATGTTTAATAGCATTAAAAATACTTATTTATAGGAACCATCATCATATAGAGATAATGTTTAATATTTACTTATATAAATCATCATATGGAGTGAATAA